TGTAGTCCTCGATCCTCGTGCCACCAATCACGCATCTCGATGCATGATGGCCGAGGAGTGAATTGCACGACTCAATATGAAATGAATGCACATATAAACACAACAAGACCTAAACTCCATCATGGATTATCCGGAGTGTTGGTGACTGGGAATTGAGACACGTTCCGTCACTCGAAGTACGAAACGTCCCTTGTTTCTCATGCTCGGGCTAACTCCTATCCCAAACACAATGCAATACGCATGACATGCATGGATGCAACTAATACATAACCTAGCATGCACGATGTTATGAAATGGCATACACGATACACGATGTAACATGGCATACACAATGCGCTAACATACAACCTAGCATACACAATGCTATAAAATGAAATGGCATACACAATGCGCAATGAACTTGCACCAACATGAGTGGACCACAGCCACACTCACATCAGTAGCCATGAGATGAAAAATGAGACACTCGAAATGCGTGCACACATGCACGCAAACCGAGGACCGAACCCAAGGCATAGCATGCAACACTAACAAGGCATGGCAAGGCATGAAACATGGTATGCAAACATGCAAATTTCAGTGCTGAAATATGATGCAAAACAGCCCCGAAACATGGAAACATGGCACCCGATGCATGGAATGAACCCGAAACACAAAACTAGGCATATGCATTGGCCTATAGCTATACAAAACATGCATTATTTGATCATGAAGTATGAAGACAGATCAAGACTTCCAAACAGTTTCAAAGGATCTTACTGTACCCCATTCGTTTGTAGGTAATGGTGACATACTTTGAAAATTATATGTTTTCTGTTCCACATGCTTGTTTCTTCTTGAATTTGAGAGAAAATAAAAAGGCGACCTTCTTTGTTCTTTGGTTTCTTCGTCTCTTTTGACAGAAAAATAAAATTGTATTGATTTGGGCGAAATGGACTCTTTCACTGTCAAGCTATGTGATCTATATTCCCATGGATTATGTGTTTTCTGGATTAGACTCAGATGTTTAATAGCTATAATGCCTTGACTCCTCTCATAATCTATGGTTATTTTATAATCTAAGGCCTAAAAAGAGGTTTAAACACAAAGAGCAAAAAGGGAGCTTCAAAAAGCAAAAGTCCCTTGATAAAACATGAGGAGGGGGTCAAACCTATTTAAAGTTTGGACCAGAGCCCAAAAATACAAGCACAAGGGGTTAACAAAACATGCAAAAATAAAGCCAAAAGAGGGATAAAGAGGCAAGTGACAAAAGGAAGCCTCAAACAGTGAAGAGCCCTTCAACAATGTTGAAAAAAGGATCAAAATAAGCCACTTTACAGTTTATAACCAAGCTCAAAACAGTTTACAAATAAGCCTAAAATACTATGCAAGAAAGAGACATACAAAAGAGGTAAAGAAGCAAGTGTAAAAAGAAAGCCTCAAACAGGGAGAGGCCCTTAAACAAACATGAAAAGGAGCTCAAAATAATGCTATTTTCAGTTAGGGTCGGAGCCCAAATATACAAGCAAGAGGATCTAATATATTGAGCAAAAATAGGGTCAAAGAGAGGGATAGAAGACTTACCCTTGAAGACCAATGCTTCAACAACTCTTGGACCAAGTTTGGGAGCCCTTGACCTCTGGAAATGGCCTTGAAGCTGCTGGAATGGAGTGTGGATTGGTTGGCTTGGAGATGGAGTAGAATGGATGTAGGATTTGAGAGGTTTTGAGGGTTGGAGTGTAGAGAGAGAGAGAGAGATAAAATGTAGGAGGCTTAAGCCAAACTTTCTAACCCTTCAAAAGGGAGCTGGAGGGCCTGGATATATAGGCAAGAGTGTGGGAAAAAAAGGGGGAAATGGATTTCAAACTTCCTCTCAAAAGTGCAGCCCCCCGGATACACAATTTGGGGGGAAACAAAATACAAATTTGTAAGGCCGGCTTAGTATTTAAGTTGCAGGTGGCCGGCCGGCCCTCCCCATGGCCGGCCGGCCAAGGGTCAAAAGGCTCAAGAAGTATTAGTGGCCGGCCACCCCGGCCAAGGGTCAAAAGGGTCAATCATGATTAGTGGCCGGCCACCCCAGAAAGAGGGCCTCCCATGCGTGCACAACACAACCATGTAGTCAAAAACTGGAGAAAGTGAACCAGGAGAGAGAAAAGGCCACTTTTAGGAGGGGTTCAAAAGGGTCACACACAATTACTGGCCGGCCATATGATATTGGTGGCCTCCCTGGTGTGTACAACACAAATATGTGGTTTGGGGCAAGAAAAAGTGGCCTTATGGTGGTCAACATTGGCTTTCAAGTGAGAAAAACGGGCGACGGAGGGTGATGGAGGAATAAAACTGGTCGTCAGAACAATTACTGGCCTCCCACCCTTCTACGACCTTCTTAGCAGTGAAAATAAGGTCTCAACCAAAAATGAGCCCAAACCGATGCAAAATGAAGGTTCGGGGGCCGAAACGCGCAGCCCGAGGCCCCGAAAATTGACTGTTAGGCACCGGAAGTGGCGTTCGACCCCGAAGTTGGTCTCTTGAGCCACAGTGTCCCTCAAAAGGGAGCAAATAAGATGCACGCCAAAAACCGAAGCAAACGGAGGTGGTTATGCGGTCCTGAACCGAGGCACCCGGCCAACGGCTCCGAAAAACCGGAAACCGGACTCCAAACGGGCAAAATGGCCTACGACCACGAAACGAAGCCTACAGCCACTTAGAGATGATCTATGAGACCTCTCCCTCCCTTCGGGAAGAGAAAACAGAGAAAATAGAGCCTGCTTCGCAAACCGAGGCTAAGCATGAAAGAGTCTGGAAGTCCGGAGGCAAGGCTCGTAGCCGAGACTCTGAAACCTCTGAACGAGCACGATATGCAACATCACCAAGCGCTCAATCGGTGACGTCTGAGTCTTAAGGTCGGTCAAAAATGGGGTGTCTACAACGGGATGCACTACTCAAAATTCTTGCAATGTCTGAAATTGATTGCCACTTACAATCAATAAAAGACTCCGAATGTGGAGCAATTTTCCTATTCGACACGGAGCGCCATTAATAAAACACTTCGAATACGAAGAAACGACACGGAGCGCCATCAGCAAAAGCTTATGAATTCTGAGCAAAACCCTAATTTCTTAGACATACATACATTTATACATATATTCATACATACATGTATCAATACAGTCATTCATTCATTCATTTTATTTATTTATCAAATGTATTCTTCATCAAGAGACTTAACATCTATTTGAACAGCATAACTCAGGCAATAAATATTCGCATTCCTTCTATCAAAGGCAATGAAAGTTTTGGGGCAATTATGGTAGCCTAAAAAATACCAGTTTATTGGGAGTAGCCCAAACAAGTCCTAACAATGGGTCTAGCCCAAACAAGGAAGCCCATTAAATAAATATCACACCCCCATTTATAAAAGGAAGCCACCTCATGGAATATAGGTATGCCTCATCTCTCCGCAACACACAACACACAAACACTCTTCAATTCTTCATCTACTTTCCTTGATTAAAGTGACTAACTTTATCATCGGAGTGTCCCCGGCCGATAACCCCAGTTGGATGGCGCCGATTATGTTCATCTGCAATCTTTGCAGATCTATAAGGGTTCAACTCGTCTCTTCATTAAATTTTAGGTATGCCTCATCTCTCCGCAACACACAACACACAAACACTCTTCAATTCTTCACCTACTTTCCTTGATTAAAGTGACTAACTTTATCATCGGAGTGTCCCCGGCCGATAACCCCAGTTGGATGGCGCCGATTATGTTCATCTGCAATCTTTGCAGATCTATAAGGGTTCAACTCATCTCTTCATTAAATTTTATCAACAATTCATATGGGAGGATTCTGGATCACACTGTCTATTTAGCATTTCTGATCTTCCAAAGGACAAGACAGAAATTGTGCCCTATAACCATTGGCAATGGCCAATGGCAAGCCTAGTAACACTTTTCCTAGCCACTGATTTTGTAATCAAAGCCTGGCCAGTTAGCACCGGGTACCTTCATGTTTTGAGACTGACATTTGAACCCATAAAATGAATTCTGATTGCTCTGGTCCCAATTATTGTGTGATTGCAATAAGTGAAGCTAGTAGTAAATGAACCCACCACAATTCATATATGACAAAATAAAAATTTGTTGTTCATAATTTCATATTATTACATTAATACGTGGTCTAAATTAAATGTATTGGGATCGAAGCTAAAACGAAATATGAATTACACATTAATTTTTATTGCACACATTGTTGATACATACAAAAGTTATGATCTCTTTATTAGAAGGTATAATAACGGTGTTATAAGCTGATAATTACCAAGACAAGTATCATTACAACAATAAATCTTTTATTTATTGATTGTCATATTCTAACAATAACATTAGAAAAGCCCATTACATATTCAGAACGCAACAATTATTTGAACGTTGGTACAAATCATCTATTGGGGTTCGAGTGAATCGACTCAATTGCCGCATGAACTTGTGGACATCACTTGCAGATGGATTAAACTCTCCATGTTTATTAATGCTTTTACCTAGTTTTTTTTTTTTTTTATCGGCAATGCTTTTTCCTAGGTAGTTGATATTTACCTCTTGATGAGTTCTTTGAAACTTTGAAAAAAAACAAAAAAAAAATTGTTAGGGTTGTACTTTTTTTCATTCTGAACGTCGTTTTCGCCCTTATTCATTAGAAGGAGCTTTGAGGTCATCCACTTTGGTTGACGACGATGCCACTAGTTTAGCTCAAAAAATTAATTATAGTAGAATTTTTTTTGTTATATTATAAAATTTTTATACAAATTTTTTAATCATAATGATATAACAAATAAGTCACATCTAATGAATTTTTTATTTTGAAATAAAAAGGCCAAGATCTTATACATCATTCTCTTTTTTATTTAAATTAGTTATAACATAATTTCAACATGACCACTTAATGGTACGGAAAAAAAGAGCATAGTTGTCTATGGTCACCAATTAACACATGAATTTATATTATACATGCAAAAGAATTTGATCTGAAATAAATTATATTAATGCTTATATTACAACACAATTAAATAATCCACACTTACAAATCCAGATATGCACAAATATAACATCACTAAATGCTTCCCATTCCCAAGACGAAGGCTTTGCCTAGTGTTCTTCTTCCTGAATTCAAGTCTTATTGTCGTGGATGCTTCGTATTCCCACAAATATTAGGAATATTTGCTTACACCAATATTTTTCAATGAATATTATGCTTCTTCCTAGTAGCAGAACAATGATATTTGAGAGACAAAAAAAGTGAGAAAAAGCAGAGGAAGTGAACCAAATACATGCTTACACCACAATTACTAATATATCACTAAGGTGAGAAAATAGGTTGGGAAGAGGCATAGTTGTTGTTGATAAGAGCCAAAGCAATGCTAATCATATGTGCAACATTCACAACAATTCCTCTCACTTTATCCCTCACCTTATTCCCATCCATGGCATGTCCAGCAAATCCATCCATACATGTGTCGACATCTGTCAACGCCGCACTCACCCATGTCTGTATATCACTCATTTGAAGTCCCCAATTGGTTCCTTCACTTAGCCCCATCTCTGCAATGGACTTTTGCAGCTCGTCCACCGCATCTCCGAGCACCTCCACGCAGTCGCTCATGGCTGAAGCCTCCATGGGGCTCAAGCCATGGCTTTTCGAGAGGTTTGAAATGGCGGTGGAGGTTGATTGGGCAGTGGTGAGAGTGACGGTGAGGGAAGTCTTGACTAGGAGTTTGGGGCTGTCTTGAATGTCGTTGGCGTAGCTGGAGAGAGTGGTGTAGCATAGTTGAGGGTATGTTGTGTTGCTGCATGAGGTTTTGATGAAGTCTGTGTTTGTTTGATCAGAAGGGGGGAATGCCATGGAAGTAGTGAGTTGAAGGGTAAAGAGGAGGGCTATTGCATGGGAAACAAATGAACATTCCATCTTTTCTTTCTCTCTCTTTGATTGGTAGGGAAGATGGAGAGGATGATGAATCTAGGGAAGGGGAGGATTCCCAATTTATAGGACTATTTCAAAAAATTATTAGGTGGTTATGCATTATCACATGACTACTCTTAATAAACAAGAAATGTAATAAATGAGAAATTGTAATATAATATGAAGGGGTTGTCAAGCCAGTGGAGTGTCCATCTGCATCTCTGCTCTTACTCAAGGAAAGGTGTCTGGTTTGTTTGTTTGGGCTGTTGCTAGGCAATGTAGCTTAAGGCAAATCTGCTCCATCTGTATGCTCCAGCAGTGGTGACTTCTGCAGTTCTGTTGTAAGGATAGGTGTATGGTTTGTTTGTTTGTGCGATTTACTTCAGTCCCACAGGTCTGCCATGACTTTAGGCTGCAGGTGGTAGCTCTCCAGCTTAGGTGCTGCAGCTCTGTTGGCTCAGTCAGAATTAATCTGCAGGTTGCAGGTTGCTGTTTGGTTCTGGTTTGGACTGTTTTTGGACTGATTACCTCTGTCTTCTCTGGGCTGTTTGCATATCTGTGGGGTATGGTGGTAGTCTCTGATCTGAGGGCAGAGGTGTAGCCAGTTGGATCCAAGGGAGTTGTGTCTGGGCTCCTGGAGACTTCATCCAGCTTTGCATCTGTGCTGAGTTTTGGTGATAATGTTGGTGCCAATTTGAAGCATATCTGCAGTAGATTCAGAAGTGTAGTGCCCCAAATTGTGTAGTCTGCTAGCTCTGGGGACTGATCTCTAGCTGAGTTTTGTTTAGCTGTATATGCTGATCAGTCAGCTGTGGTTGTCCAAATGTTGCGTAGTTCTGCTTTGTTCTGTTTTTTCCTCTGTAGTTTGGTTGTTAGCTACGGTTGCCTTTCTTTTTTCTGTTTCTCTTGTCTTGTTTGTTGGTTTCTCACCAACTGGCGCTTGGAGCTTCTGTTAGCTTCAAGCTCCTCTTTATTGATGTTCTGTATCTTTCTTGGTTACTTTCATCAATAAAGATTTTCTTTGCCGATCAAAAAAATATGAAGGGGTTGTTTGGGAACTACCACAATAGCACAAATTTCTTTTTTTTAGTTATATTATCTCTCTATTTTTTAACATATTTTTTCGTAAAAATTTAAAAAATATACTTATTTAGCATTTTCTAGACTATCTTGAAGTGTGATATATATGAAGAATAATGTTTGAGAGCCACAATTTGTGTGACTCAAATGGCTCAAAACTGTCAAAACGACGTCGTTTTGGCATGTTTTGTGCTCAAAACGATGTCGTTTTGGCAGTTTTGAGCCATTTGAGCCATAAAAATTGTGGCCCTCTACCATTGTGCATATATGAAATGACTCTATCAAGTAGTTCCTGTCAAATCGAGAGTTCCAATTATATCAAGGCTTGTTAGTGGATAGATCATGTATTGTCTCTCAATAACATAAAAAGAATATTTTTCCAACAAAAATTTACCTAATGAAAATGGCCAATATTGTCTTTCCAGCAAAAATTTCTAATATATTATTGATTGAAAGAATCACGTGAATAATATCACAAAACACACTAAAATTGGTGAATAATTTTTAGACAAGTAACTTGTTTGATATAACTTATTATAAATTAAAAGTTGTTAATCAAAAGGTAAAGAGTAAAAGTAAAAAATATTCGTATCCTAGCTTTTAAATAATTTATTGTTTTTTAAATTATATAAACTTATTCTATCAAATAAGTTTTAAGCAAAAAACTATACAAAATCATCTAACATAATGTTTTTTTTTTTTAAAAAAATTATAAATAATTCAAAAAAACAAGTAAAAAATTTATGCCAGTGGTCCCACATCACAAACACAAGTAATACAAAAAAAGCATTGACGGATGAGGGAGATGGTCACATGGAAAGATTGGAAGAGAAAGGAAGCAAAATGTAAAGTAAACTGTCACGGAAAGCCACCTTTCCCTTCAATCAAAACATAGTGTTTGTCCTTTAATGAAGCTTGAAAGTATTCACCCAAAAAAAATTCTTGAAAGCTAACTAGAAAGTGGTGTGGTGGGTATAACTTGGCATGTGTTCTTCTTTTAATTTAAAAATGATTAATTTATGTAGAAGGGGAGTAATTTCTCTCCAATTGAATCTTCTGTCTGGAGATCAGAAATTTTCTAGGCCCCTAAGGGCGTTTCCAATAATGTATCTTTTTTTCTTTTTTCTTTTTTCATATTAAATTTGAATAAAAATTTAAGCAAAAATTCTATTTGATATCAAGTGTTCTAAAGGATAAATCTGAATTTTCATCAAAACATTGGTCGGCCGGATAAATTTGAGAAATTCTAGATTTGATAAAAGATTTAGTGATAGATTGGAACAGCAAAAAATGAGTTTTTTTTTTTTAAAGTTTGATGAAACATTTTAGTGTTGGGTTAGAAATGGTTGTTAAAATTATTTATCCATCTTTTATCTCAGGGTGTATAGTTCATTCAAAGAAAGAAAAAAATATATTATATTTTGATCTAATAAATTCAAGAAAAAGTATTCATTAAGAAAATGTTTTATGAAAAGAATAACGATCTGTTGATACTAAAAAATTTGTTTCGGTTCATGTAACCTGTGATAAGTGTCATATTCATTTGATTAATATATATATATATATATATATATTTTTTTTTTTCGTCACTATAACAAATTTCATTTTTGGTGACTAAAATTTAAGTCACCAAAAGCCTTGTTTTTTGTCGCCAATCACTTTTGCCGACTAATATATTTGGTCGTCCGTTTAGTCGTCAATAGTTTGTCGGGGAAACAATCGGCGACTAAAATTTTTTTATTAGCCAAAAGTGGCCTATTGACGACTAAAACTTTAGTCACTATATATATTTTTAAAATAATTAAATATATATATATATTTTACTTTTAGCGACTAAATTATTTTGTGGCCAATTGAGCATGTATGTTTGGCGACTAATTATTTGGTAGCCAAAAGTTTCACTTTTTGAGAATTGGTGACTAAAAATTTAGTATCCAAAAGTTTCTTTTTTACAGTTGGCGACTAACAGTTTAGTAGCCAAATGTTTCATTTTTTACAATTGGCGACTAAAGTTTTAGTAGCCAAAAGCCAACCTGTGATATTTGTTTAGTCACTAAAAGGTCTTATTTAGTTTTTATAATTTGGTTTGTAATATTTTTTGCACCTCTTGTAATCTGTGTATATACAAAATTATTCATCAATTCATTCATTCATTCATTTATTTAGTTCTCAACCATTCAATAAAAATATTTCTCTACAACCTGTACCGTTCAATTTTCAACCACATACAAAACTTAACTATTAACTGTACATATCAAAGAAAATAAGAATCTATAAATATAGTATAATCCAACAAATACATATACTATCCAAACTAACAATCAAAATCCAAATTAAATAAAATCTTAACAACAATTGTGATGCTGATGCTGATGCTAGAGACACTATTGTTGGGCTGAAGGTCCTTCCACAATTGTTCTTCATCAATTTGTCACGTGGATGTTCATGTTCTACTGAACAAATTATAAAAACTAAATTAAAGAAAATACATATACTATCCAAACCAACAATTAAAATCCAAATTAAAGAAAATCTTAATAACAAAATATATTAGGGTCCCCATCTTCTTATCACGTGCTCTTGATGTAGCTTCAGATATGTTAGAAGAGGGTCTCCATCTCATTCAATTGTTAAATTCTTACATGTAGGTCACCGCATCGGGAATCAATCCAGTCATTCGTCTTGTGAGACTTCTCATAGAATTTGTAAAAATCAGGCAACTCTTCGTCGTTCTCATCTACCTGTTAATTTCTCATCTAACAGAATTGTTTTCAGCAAAGAATCCAATTGTGAAAAAAGATTGAGAAGGAATCCAATGACACGAAGATGAACATAAATTTCAAATAAAAAACGTGAACCAACACCCAGAGTAACAAATGGACACCAAGATGAGCAAAAGTACTCTTATTTCCACTATGAATGAATGAGACTTGTGCAAATTCCCACTAATCATCAATCCAAAGAAAGGCCCTTGATATCTGTTGGGTTGGTGGTGATGACTTCAAACTGTCAATTGTACTTCAAGCATTTGTAAAAGTATTCTAACTTTATAAGAATTCATGAAAGAAAATTTATGGTTGAATGATATGTACTCTGAGCAAAGTATCTGATTAAATAAAAAGAGAAATGCTACTAAAGCAAGCATTGAACTAGTGAAGAGTGTGTAGTTACAACTTGTTCTGAAACATGTGCTTGCCAAGTGACTGATTATAAAACAGTTGACTGACTGAAAAAAGAATCATTATGGTTAAGGACAAGTATATTACCTGATATAGTTCTTGCTTGGGTTCCTAGAAAAGCAAAGACATCTTAGATACTTGGTTAGCCATAGTGATCAATCATATATCAGTAACTTTTTGTTTTTATTAGTTGAGAAAACCAGTATAACCACCTTGAAAATGCCTTCAATCTGTAATATCTTGTCTCCAGTTTCAAGCAGACCTTGTAAAGTGCTAATGATTGGAAGCCCAGCTCCAATATTTGCTTCATGGAAGTAATGTGTATAGGATTGCCGTTGAAGAGCTCTCAACCTCAAATATTGGAATTTGGACAAAGTCTAGTCATGAAAGCCCCTAGATGAGTTTTTCAGAAAATGGAACGGAAAAAAAAATGCAAATAGATTTTCTTCAAGTATTGTTTATTTAGTAAATGAGAATACATCATTGGTGGATCACACAAATATGCATCATATTGTAGCAAATTTATTGAACTAAAGCCAATAATGATCTAAACTAACAACCGTTTCACTTGTAAAATCATAACAAGGGTACACTAAATCATAACTTACAAGGAATTTTCTACTCATACACAGAGAGAAATTTTTTTCTAACTTTTAAGGAATCCTGCTTCTCCAAAATAAAAAGATTAAATTGTTATCAAATTCGAAATTAGGAACGAAAACCTAGTTGTGTTAATGATACACTATTCCATTATCCACAGTCGCGTATACTATTCAAATGACAATTTATATTATTCCATTATACAAAATT